AGAGCCTCCGTCAGAGCGTCAAGAACTTTGAACAGTGTTGTTAAAGATTCAGCAATCATCACATGAAGTGGTGTTTGTTGTCTTACACAGTTATAACCTACATATATAAATAAAGATGAAGTGTTTGTAGAACAAGTGTCACCGACTTTTCCCCTCTTCTTCTTCAGGACCCTGGAGAAAAACAAAAAGAAAGGCAAGATCTTTTAAGGACAGTCGGCAGGACCACCGCCACTCGAGAAATTTATGTTTGCCAATGTTGCCAGTCAGGACACCAGTGTGTGGCTCTGATGTTACCCCACCTCCTCCCAATCTTCCTCTATTCTCCCCTCTTCTCCCCGCTCTTCTCCCCCTCTTCTTCTGTCCCTGCTCTGTCTGCCAGCACAGCTGTGCTCCTGCTCCCAGCTGCTAGAGGGCGCACTGGGGGCATTTGTGGGTGTGTGAGGGGGCCTGGGGGGGGTCTGCATGTAAGGCCAGAACAGCCTCTGCAGAGCCCCCTGGCTGCCTAAGAACAGCCATTATCTTCTTCATCATCCTCAAGGAATGTTTACTTTCCATATTATTTTAATTATTATTATTATTATTGTTGATGTTATTATTGTTATACTAAATACTGTTCTCCACCCCCAAATCGGCTGCTTTCTTTCTTCCCAAGGTTGCTTTTAAATGACTGGTGTGTGTAGATTTATCATTTACCTGGGGCCGCGCCAATGTTTATCTTTTGCTTTAATTTTGTGCTGAATAAATCGTTAGAGAATGATAATGAAATGCTGAATATGGAATATATACCAATAATCTTTATAAATGGCGGCCAAATTTCCCCAACCTTTAAACATCTGTGTTGGCCCGCAGTTTCACAATCGGTTCATCCCTACAAATACCCACAAGTACAATCAGTTTCTGTTGAAATACTTGTTTACAGGAAAAGTTAAAGATTATGAACATTTAACCTGACCTTCAAATGTGTATCAAAGTAAGAAAAGGACAAGGCATTAACGAGTCCTTTGTTTTGTTTTGGTTTTGAGTGTACCTGTTAAACCTGTAACCCTCGTCCCATCAGCGCAGCAGGCTAGAACGAAACACTGTCAGTAGAAAACACAAGAAAATGCACCTTGGGCCTTTTTATAGATAACAAAAAATGGCTAAAGCTTTTTTTTTTTTCCTGAAATATAACGCTTTCTTTTTCTTGTGTGTTTAGCTATGTTCACTAGCCTCGGACCACCATTTATATTGTCATAAGTGTTACATTTCACTTTAGTTTATTTTTATATATACCGAGCCAGCTGAAGTAATAACTTCTTTTGTATGTTTAGAAAAATCCTCAGAGACTTGACAGCTGCGTGTCCACTGTTAAAGAAAAACACTTCCAAATATTAACAGTGATTCTGGACACATTGAAAAAAATAAAATAAAAACAGCCCACATGTTATTTCAGTTACTCTGCGGAAACGATCAGTGGGAAATGAAGAGTCAACACCACATTTTGCTTTGGCTATGTACTCCATCTCTGTATTTTTAATTTTATTTTTCATTTGTAATGTACAAAGTCACTTAATAAACCTGTGATATTGAAGAGTAAGATGGATTTATTATGAGAAAACGTGCTCATTATGAAGTGGGGAGAACACCAGTTTTGTGACTGAAACATAAACATTAAAAAAAAAAAGCATTATTTTAAAAGCCCTTCAATTCAAACACGTGCTCTGGTAATTTTGAATTATTAAATGATTTCTATAGTGGCAATATAGGACACTGTTTTACCACTAGGTGTCGCTCTGTGCACGTTAAGTGTTAGGGCGATTTTTAATGGCACTAAATGTGATATTTTATACATTAAATAATATGTACAGACTATAAAAGTTGAATGGAGACAAATCACACGGATGGAAATTTAGTTTTTCTCTCCGATCTTCAGCCTTGAATCGACGCCGGGTCACAGAGCTCCTGCGGGGATGAAACCAACAGTTGACCAGGCAGATGTAAGCTGATGTGAGACTAGATTTATGAAAATGTTGCGGGAAATGTACCTTAATCCCAAGAGCCTCTCTTCCCCATCAGACCCACAAAGGTTTGAAATTTGTGCCCTAGAAAGAAAAACAGCATTTCACCATATATAGATATTTTTATAGATAGATATATTTATTTATTTATTTTTACCTCTGAAATAATACTGAACTGAAATGCAAAAAATAGAAAGTTATAAAACTTACGTTTACGTGCCGTCCGTGTTTTTCCTGTTTGTGAAGAATTAAATGGATGAGTGAACTCTCTCTGGGTAGATGAGCAGTTTAAAACATAAATCTGCATAAATTTGTTCAAAATGCCGTCATATCGTCCTACCAGACTCCTTTCTCCCCATAAATCCAAGATGTTGGCGAGATCCTGGTTTTCTGATCATTCTCACTAAAATGTCTTGAATTTCTTTAGAGTTTGGCCATTTTTTCTTATATGAGACAAACACAAACAAATAAAGACGTTTAATATTAAACATTCTATTTTTCCATATGAGAAAAATTACAATAGAAGCCTGAAACTGAATCCAAGAAATTATTTTATTAAATGTTTTTGAGCCTAAGCATTAATCATAATCACATAATTTGTTTTAACTTTCTTTATAAGTACTCTGAAAGGACGCTGGCAGCAAAGAACGTGCCAGCAGGTTTATAAAATCTTACCTCCTCGATGTCTTCTCTCCAGATGTCAGCATCCATATCTTGACAGAAAACGTTTGAAAGAAGCAGCACAAAAATGAAAACAAGTTTAAGCGTTTCCATCACTGCAGACTGTGTGTACTTAGCCAGGAACACAGATAATAAATATCTGTGTGCAAGTGGATCACACCTCACTGCTGAGTTTCAGATGAAGAGAGCAACATCCACGGTTCTTGTGCCGAGGTCCATTTACGCAACGTTTGCGCGCTTTTACGCACAGCTGTGTGAGTGAAAGATGAGGGCTGATGCTCGTCTCCGGCAATTACTCTGAGTCACTTGTTACACGTCTTCTAAATGGCCTTGTGTGACTTGTTCAGAGAAATGTTTTGAACTGGACTACTTTAACACTGGCTAAAAGGCTTATCGGACTACGCTATATGATATAATTGGAACATCTTCACAGCACATGGAAAATCGTTAAATTAACAGTAAAAGAGTCAAAGATTAAAGGAAAATAAATTATTATTCATTTTCAGTGCGTATCTATCTTTTTCAAGGTCTCCTACAGGTCCACGCTGCAGTGTGGACTCTGACTTGTGCATTTAGCAGCTTATTGTTGCTGTATGTAACCACCACTTTTTTATAATCCATTTTTATTTGGTTTCGTACTTCCTTTTACATCTTAATTTCTCAACATGTAACCTCAAATTTGACATGATTGTGATATGGTGAAGCACTCTGAGACATGCCTTAGTTTTTGTATTAGCAGATGTGCAAGAAAATGTCCCGATGAATGAGATACAGTTATATAAAGAGCTACATTATACTTGTACTTTACATTGTTTACTTCATATCGATAAAACTGAATAGTTTTCTTAATAACAGCAACCGAAAAAATGTTGTAATGACATACTCTAGTTCTTGAATTGGCTCTTGTGTCGGATAACCTTTTAAATATTTTTATTGAGATAAAATAATACGATTCAGTTTAATTACGTTTTATTTATACAGCACCCATTCATAACAACAGTCACCTGCACGGTGCTTTATATTGTTAGGTAAAGACCATACAATAATACAAGGAAATTCCCCCGATAAACAAGCACTTGGCAACAGTAGGAAGAAAAAAAATGTCCCTTTTAACAGGATGAACCCTTCGGCAGAACCAGGCACAAGGAGCAACAGCTATCTACCACAACTGGGGGGGTAAACACGGGTAAATGTGTAAGTCTTAAAGTGTCCTTCATTTCTTCATATTTTGGAAAGAAAACTGGTAATAGGGGGAAACATTTATGTAAATAAAGTACATAAAGCCAAAACACAGTATTTTACAATTCGAATGAGGTATGAACACACTGCGTCGGTAAGACGGAGGATCCGTGACTGATATTGTTCAGTTGTGAACAAGACATGTTGCCAAGGTGGCTTCAGTATAATTTCTTTAGTAACTAATAAAGTTCTGATTCAGTCAACAGTAGATTGATCAACTAAAGAACCAGATACGTTTTTCAGGACCAGTATCAAGTCTTTCCTTGATGTTTTTATTCATGTTCTTAAGGACTTACATACACTGTTCACCTGCTGTGGTTCTTTTCTTTCTTTCTTTTTTGCCCCGCAATGGTTATAGTTTCTGTGTTTCTGAAACAGGTCAGCAGTAACAAAGTACCCGATGCTAAACTTTAAAACTGCTTCTTTAACTCGTCTGTTATGTGTAAACGCTACACTGGTTCCCCTTTAAATTGGATTTAGCACAGTGGCACGGTGGTTAGCACTGTTGCCGTACAGCAAGAAGGTCCTGAGTTCAATTCCGCCATCAGACCGGGGTCTTTCTGTGTGGAGTTTGCATGTTCTCCCCGTGTTTGCGTGGGTTCCCTCCGGGTACTCCGGCTTCCTCCCACTGTCCAAAGACATGCAACTTGTGGGTTAATTGGATAATCCAAATTGCCACTAGGTGTGAGTGTGAATTGTCTGTCTCTGTGTGTTGGCCCTGCGACAGACTGGTGACCTGTCCAGGGTGTACCCTGCCTCTCGCCCTATGACAGCTGGGATAGGCTCCAGCGCCTCCCGTGACCCTGAAAAGGATAAGCGGAAGCGAATGGATGGATTCTTTTTTTTTATCCTCGGATGGTTCACAGACATGTCAAGGGTCTTAAAACATTTCTCTGAAATAGGTCAGGTCATCATCAAATCTCGCGAGATGTTGAAAATATATTTCTGCTAGTCGTTTTGCAGCTATTTTCCGCTTCAACTAAGCGTTTTATCGCGACAGATTTCATTATTTTGACGACCAATCAAATTCTCTGTTTCAGATCATTTTCCGTTAAAAGTACCGTTTGCGCTTTCCTAGACCTGTGTCCCCGCAGGGCTGCCGTAGACAGCGGCTCGGCCCGCCTCCAGCTCAAATGTTTGGATGTCATGATTAGGTGGAAGGAGGAAATCACAGGTCGTCTGGGGACAGCTATAGCAGACTCTGACCCTTTAAGTTTAAGTTAACTTTTGGCGAAGTGATGTCCGACCTCGGTTGTTCGTGGTGAGTTCACGGGCACTAGCTTACACCGGGAACATGGCTTTGTTGCGTTCAAAGTCTGCGCTGTTGTGGTTTCTGATTGTTTTGGCAGCTCATATCGCTGAAACAGGAGGGAGACCGAGGCGCCAGGTGTTGCTGACCGAAGGTGACAGCACGGTGAGTTTGAGATCTCGGCAACCTCCCGCCGGGCCGGAGCCCGGTGACCCGGCGGACGCGTTCAAAGTACCAACTCTGGATGGGGAGTTTTCCTTCCAGCCCGACGCTTTGAGGGGACCTCTGGTGATCCACGCCTTCACCAACAACTCAGGGTTTCTGGAGTGCCTTTGGAGCTCAGAGTCTTCGCTAAAAAGTCTCGTGGAGGAACTTCCGAACAGCACTCAAGTGCTCTTCCTATCCCTGGACGACTCTGTGGTCAGTGATGTTCTCTGGATGCGGGAGCAGGTGCTGCGGGCCGCCGCCCACAGGTGAGCGTGAAGGACTCATTCTCGCTGTAAGGCAGACGATTTGGGTTCCAGTGGTGATAGAAAACAGATGTTTAATAGCATTTGGCAATACATACCTGCACTGAGTAAAACATACTCAGTGTCAATACAATTATATTAAATTAATTAATATCCTGAAGCTCTTTATGCAAACTTTTTCTGTTGTGGGTGGTGGAGTTACCTATGCTCACTTTACATACACACAGTCTAGTTTTGAAGCACAAGGCAAAACTTCGCTTTTTTGTCAAATGTTAGATATAAACAGGGACAGGGATTCAGAACATGTAACCTCCACTAGAGGCTAAAAGCTTCACGTAAAAATGGAACAGAAAAAAGGCTTAAAAGAACAGCTGTACACATCTGGAAACATTTCAGCACTGACAAATATTAATCGTTTAAAGTGCTTGAAAGTTCACTTGGGGATAAATTTCTGTCAATTTTAATATTTTTGCAGGTTGGTTAAATCTTTGGCTTCAGCAACTTGAAGTGGCAAAAGACCTACTGTGAAACACTAAGTCCATCCAATGATTGAATAAGTCGTAGAACTTTGAAGTAATGGTTCTGTGTGTGACTTTCAGCCTCTGTCCCTGTTGACGGTAAATGTTGGCCCACTCTTCTTCAGTTCACTGAGGCCTGTGAGCATTAAATTATGCACAGCTCTCTTAAGGTCCCTCCACAGCGTTTCAGTCAGATTGAGGTCTGTACTTTGAGTGGGCGC